GCTCGCAACCACTTTGCCGTGCCGCAACGACAATCCTCCGTTGCATCCCATCCCACTGTGCGCCCGCCCCAATCCCGCGCTACGCCACCATCCCGCGTCGCGCCCCCGGCCATCTCTCCTTGTTTGTCCGGTGGCCTCCTCCCTCACCCCGGCGTCCTCACCCACCGGGAGAGCCCAACGCTCGCGGATCCAGTGGCTGTCTCCCCCACCTGGCGAGATCCAAGCAAGCCACTGAACCTCCCCTACCTCGGCTGCCGGTGTCCTCCTTAGATCCGGCAGCGTCTCCTCTCCCTCGGCCGACGGCGGGCATTGTGGGCGTGCGGGAGCGCACCATCCAGCAAGCCTGCACCACCACAGTTGCCCACCAGGTAGGTCATGGCCGCGCGGCGATGCTGTGTTTCAAGTGTTTCTGGACGGTTTTTAGACATGTTGCAAGCCCATGTTTCAAGTGTTTCAGTTGTTTTAGATGCATGTTTCAATTGTTTCATGCGGATGTTACATATGTTCCAATGGTTGTACACGTATGTTGCACGCGTCTATCCCCAATGTTTCATTTATTTTTTGTACACGTATGTTGCAAGTGTTTCAAACGCATGTCTCAAGTGTTTCATGTGTCTTTTTTTTATGTTGCAAGTGTTGCATCAGGATGTTTCAAAAAGTATATCAGGATGTTGTACATGTTGCAATGGTGTTTCACACGTATGTTACAAATGTTTCATCTGTTTTAGACGTATGTTGCAAAGGTTTCATCCGGATGTTGCAAAAGTAGATCGAGCTGTTGCATGATGCGGCTGGTGGCTGTCGCTGCTGCTGGGGCGCAGCCGTGGGTTGGGTTTCCCCGTGCGGGGTGCGGGGTGGGTCCCTGCGACGGATGTGGGCGTGGGTGCTGGGGCGGGATGCGGACGCGGGAGCGGCGCAGATGTCGGAGCCACGTCCAGACGTGCGGACGCTAGGCGTACCTCAGTCAAACGACGGGCTTCTAGCCTTCTAGGGAATCCATTGCGTCTTTCTCCGGCCATGTATGCTTTAATTGCATTAGAGCAACTCCAAGATAAAAGGCTATTTGTGTCCTTAAGCCAAATTTTACATTTTTGAGAAGAAATGGTGCTCCAAGAGCTTAAAAAAAAAGCAAGCCGCACCCGCTAGCTATTCGTCTCCCCCGCGGTTTCTCGCTCACCGCTGCGTGTCAGTACCACGTCGCCTGCTCCCGCAGGAACGTGAGTGATGGCGGCCGCAACAAGGTGAATGGCATGGCTGCCGCAGGCCTGTGTTCCCGTCCAAACGGCGGCAAGCTGCAAGCACGTACGTGTGTGGCAAGTGCTAAAAAATGCATTAGTTAAAATTTGTATGGCCAGCAAATTAGCATCACTCTCTAGCACAATTACACAGCAAGCAGAAACGAAGGCTTAGAAAGAGAAAGCAAGATAAGTTCACTAGCAGTGACAGAGCAGTAGACCACGACCAGATCATTAAAACTGAAACAGAGTTTGATATGCAGTCTCTCATGAGCTGAAACTAATTAAGACGACACAGTCTATTTATGCCTTGCTACTCCTGATTATATCAGTATATATCTCAATATTGTTCAATGACCTTGTCCACTATAAGGCTCATACTATTTATCATTTCCACCAACTTTCCCATTGCCAAGAAACCCTCCGGTGAGCACCTTATTTCTGCCCAGAGCACTACTTGAAGCACGCGCACTCCGTTCCTCACCTGTCTAAGGCCGCTCGTAATACTGCAGAAATACAAAAAATTCAAAAAAAAAAAAAATGTCAGCAGGCTGAGAAATCAATTCCCCTTATTAAACATTTTTCCTATCCTAGTCCTAGCACTATTTGAAACCCGCACTTATTCATATTAAAAGATGATAAACTTGAAATTCCAGAAAACAACATATCGTTGCTTCCATACTGTTGTTAACTAACAATGTGACGTATCGTAGCTACTGAAGGGTAAAAAGCTAGATCATATATGCAGGGTAATGGCCTTTTGAGCACCTTCCTGGCCCAGCCCAAATTAAGATATGTATTCAAGCCATATGTCCAGAACAGCAACACCAGACCAAGAAATTCCTACTGCACATGTCTAGCATATTAATCCCAACAGTGGTCATAAAAGGAAATATGACTATACGTGTATCACAGTTTTATATGGCATTGGGCCAGGATAAATGGAGAATACAGTTTTATGAAGTGATTGTTCTAGAGCACACAGAAATCAAACAAAAATATTCTGGTGTGCCCCTATAAATCCAGCCTTTATCGGGAAAAATCACAACGGAGCACCATTGCAAAATTAAAGGCTAATATAATGTTATAAGTAGGACCTCATGTGATCGTACCTGGAGTATAGAAGCTCACAAAGGGGATAATGTCATAGAAACCATAGCTTAAAACCTTGGTGACCTGCCCAGAGTTCAGATCAAAAGTGTAGACCCCATCAACCGTATACACGAAGATGACACCCACGGCATCCGCAACGGCAACCACACAGAACGCAAGGGCATGAGCAGGGAGCAGCGTCCTGAGCTCAATGTGTCTACTCACTACCCATTGTTCCACATTTCCATCAGCACTAACCTCCATTGACCAGAGTATGAGATTAGACTCCATGTCCACTTCCGCGAGCCCTAGGCCGCCATCATCCATCGCCATGGGCACAACGCGGCGAGGATACCAACTGATCGGTACGTGCATCACAGACATCACCCTCGTGGCCAGATCGTACTTGAGCATTGCCATTCCCATCCGAAAGACAAAGTAGAGTGCATTCCCTGCTAGAGCAGGGAGCACCGCCTCATGGAGATAATCATAAGGAAGGTTCGCAGAGGTCGCTTCACTCCATGTGGCAGAATCTGATGAGTAGACGCTGGCAAACATCTCCTTGTCGTCGATGCCAACAAAGACGACGTGGAAGTCCCCCGGGCGGCAACCTAGGTGGTCGCAGGTGCCAAGGCCGGCGGCACCGGCGGTGGCGCAAAGCACCGCGGCGGTCCAGTTGCGCACCGCTGGTCCGCAGTAGAGGTGGTGGCAGGGCCACTGCTCATCGGTGATAGGGTCCCAAACGATGAGAGCGGCCTCCACTCCCTGGAACACATCGCCGCATCGAGCGATTCTGTTGAGGAGGACCCGGCCGTGGCGGGCGTCGTGTGCGCGGTAGTCGTGGCGGTCGGGGCGGACAGGCCGGAACGCGTGCGTGGGGATGAAGCGTGCGTACCCGCCTGTGTCGATGAGGTTGCCGAGGAACCCCAGCAGCAGTGGCGTCCGATGGCGCCGCGGTATCGGGCGGCGGAAGCCACGACTAGCGAGGAGGCGGGCCCAAAGCTTTGCGCATTTAGAGCGACACACGATGAGATGCTCATGGTCGCCGGGGAGGGATGCAGAGCAAGATCTCCTCGACGATCTCGTCCGGCAGCCGCGGCGGCGTGCGCTGGGTACCTAGTAGGTCGGGGAAGCTGAATTCCGCGCTTCCGCTTCCGCTTCCGAGAGAGAGGAAACCAGGGGGCAGTTTCTCCATGGATCGAGGGCTATCTTGTGGGGTCCACAAGACTAGGATTGAACTTTTCCTATCAAAAAAGAATTTTAATAAATACAGAAAAACATGCCTTAACAGTTAAGAAATCTGCCAAATTTCTTGACTTTGGCGACTATCTAGACACACATGGTTTTAGGGTTATCATTAGGGTCCACACGGCTTAGAGGGAGGCTTGCGGGCCCTGTGATGGTGGTTGGTTGGTGTGAAGGTGATGCGAGCTCTCGCCGGAGTGGCAAGGGCTGATGGATGAGCAGAGTCGCCAATAAGAGTAACAAATCTTAAACAGATATACCATGGAGGCGGCAAGGAGTAGTGGATCTGTCGCCACATATAGGGGAGGAGTGTAGTTGTCTTACCAGATTAGAAGAGCATCCGACGCGAAGGCAGGTTTGCGTCGATGGAGGAGTCAAGAGCGACGGCGGGGCTGTCTTAGTGCTAGGCACAACAGTGGCACTGCACAGTGTTGGGTAAGAGCTTGAGCTCTTGCGGCGGTAGGTGGGAATGAGGGAGAGGTCTTTAGGGTTGAGTTTCTTATATAGATATCTAATCTAAATCTATGACGTCCGATTCTAATCGGAGGGACTAAAACGGACTAAAGTCTAACCGGCATAAACCTTCTAAATTTGTCATCAGATAACCAGACATGCAAGCGATGGAACCTTTAGATGGAGTCCATTTTTGTATTTTTGCTTGTGTTGCCTTCTAGTTCTCGCAAGTCATCACTAGAGTATGGTTGCAGTTTCTCAAAACAAAGAAGTCTTTACTACTATATAAAAGTATCGGTGTTTTTACCGCCAACAATAACAATGGGATGTATCACGCACTACCTCATATCGAGACTTCACTGTCGGATCAAATCCCCCCTTCAATGTCGGATTTTGAACCAGCACAACGAAACCAGCAGTGATGGAAGGTTCACATCGGTGCCGGTTCTTATAAACCGGTAGTGATCACAATCTTCACTGGTTTGTGGAGCCTTCATGAACAACAATTGTATCTCAAAACTATAATTTATTCTACATTAGTTGAAATTGGTCGCCCCATTTTGAAAACAATTATTCTACACTAATTACAGGAAAATTGAAATGGGTAGCCCCATAAAAATTGAAATTGGTAGCTGTCATGCGCCTAGATTAGGGACCCAACATCTGGTCAAGCGGGCCAGGAGGAGCCCATGACCCAACCCTGACCAACCCCGAACCCCTGGCGCGCGAGGTAGCCTGGGTGCATAGCCAGGGGGCGGGCCACCTCCACTCCTCAAATTCCCCTGCATCCAAGGTGATCCAGAATAAAAAGGAGAAAAGAAGAAAATATAGGAAAATAAATAGGACATCGCTTGGATAAAATAAATTAGGAATTAGCCAGGGAATAAATAACTTACTTGTAAATGAATCGGTCCAAATCTATAAGGACTCTTCTCTTAATGTTTTTGGAAAGAAAGTCTAGATTGCTTAGGGACCATGTTCGTGAGCTTCACTAAGGCTTACGTCTACTCATCTGAGGCCAATAAGTGGAGCCGGACAGCCTCTATTGAGCTACCTTGGTATGTTGAGCAACGTTGCAATTCCAGTGCCCTTGTCGAGAATGCACTCTACTTCCTACAGCACAACAATGGAATCCTAGAGTACGATTTGGCCAAGAATGAGCTGTCAGTCATAAGGCTACCCCCGATATGCATCGTGTCTACCAGTATTGTGCTCATGTCAGTGGAGGATGATGGGTTGGGATTTGCCATGATGTATGACGATTTCTCTCTCTGCATATGGTTGAGGGAGTCTGCTCCGACTCCGAGTGGTGGATGGACATGCGGAGGCAGCATAAAGTTGTTGACCTCAAGGGTCTTCTCCCTGCTTCTGACCTCTCATGCTCACCTTACATCGTTGCTGCTGTGGATGCTGTCCGTGTTTTTGTCCGTGTTCTTGGCTATTGATCTCAAGCCTTGGCGGACTAGAAATGCATCTGATGCTGATGCCCACACTGTAAATATTATTCCCTACATGAGTTTCTGCACTCCAGGTAATTGCTGCATGTGTCTTGGGCCATGTTGAATTCTGTAAAGTTTTACTTTCTCTAGGTTTAATTGCTGGTATTAATTCAACTTAGTAGCATGCATGGAAGTATGGGCAATGATATATTGGTTCAAGAATAATGAGTTTTTCAGAGTAGAATATTGCAATATATATAACATAAAGTTGTGCTACATTTTATTTTTTTATGGATCACCGTAAAATTGGTATGATCTTCCAAGAAACTTGTTTATCTATTAGGCTGCCTGGTTGTTAAATGCAGGACTTCCATATACTGGGGCCTGCTTTGTTTTCTAAAGCAATTTTTGGTCCCTGTGTTTGGTTTTACTTGTTCGTCGAGTGCACAGATTGGTTCGATAACCAATCTATTTATCTTTACATAATTTGTGTATTTATGCAGTATTTAGGGCAGCCTCCATCGATGACGGGCCAAACACGGTTGCTTCTAATAATGCATGACAAATGGACGGTACTCCTATCACTGATTTTAGCTAGGGTGCTGTTAGTCTGCTGGCCTTTAGCTAGGGTGTTTCTGCATTTTGTTGGAGCATCTTGTCTCTCTTAAACTGTTATTAGATTTATGGCTGGCAACAGGTTTTGATGGGCTAGCCTATGTAAGTGTATATCAGTACTTTTGCTTTTAATGAAATACTGGAAAAAAGTATGATTTGTTTGGTCTAATATCTGTTTTGTAGTTCTGGGGAAAACTATTATATTTCTAAATAAAATGTGTATATTGAATAAATAAAAACTGCAATTTCATATGCACGGTTGTTACTTCAAATTAGTTTTGGTTGGTTCGACATCTTGTACATATTAATTAAAAATTGCCTGTATGGTAACCAAGCCTTACCCAATGACCTACAAACTTACAGCTCCGATCCATAGAATAATTTTGTAATGCATGGAGAAGTTTGAAAATTTTTACTTACATGAAGAAGACCAAGTCAATCATTATGGGTTGCCTAGTTGTACATTGTTGACATGGTGCACCGGTGCTTACATATTGTGTGTCATTTGCACTGGACCTGAAAAACTATATTCGCTTATCTTATGAGCCGTACTATTTTAGCGAACGAACAATGTTTTTCTCTCACAACAAATCAGCGAACAGTACTTTCAGCCATGGCTTTTCAGCAAAGCAAACAGGGCCTACAAACAATTTCTGCTTCTTTTTGACTTGGTCAGTGACTTTGTGCGTCATAGTATGCATGCTGCTAAGAAGTCAAATATGGCTGGCTACCAGTGCAAGCCTCCAGATTTGTATATATAAGCTAGTAAACGTGTCCGTGCGTTGCAATGGAATTCAATATATATATAGGAATTGGACTCCACATCATCGCTAGATGCAAGCTGTTTTAATTTATATGAACACGGGTAATAAGTCTGGATCACATGAGATATGTAGGGCACGACCCAATACGTATTGGAGTTGGTCTCAGTATTCATCGTTGCTAGTGCGAGTTGTCTTAACTCATGAATACGTGTCATGAATCAGGCTCACATACGAGACATGGAGGGCATGAGTGCACTACTGCAAAGATAGTTAGGTGGAGGTGGATGAAAAATATGGGTGGAGAGAAATTTTACCTCTTTAATAATATATATTATTAGGTATAGGTAGAATCGATAAACCCCATTCCATAATAATGTTTGTCACACTCAACTCATTTGCATACAACACATCCTAGATGATGAGGACATCGCCACGCTGGACACACCGACGCCATGGTCTTCCCCAAGTTGCAATTCGTTCCCAACTCAGCTGCCACGTCACCCTCGGATTCAGCAGACACGTCGTCACTGTTTCGGTCATAACATCCTCATACGACGTCGAAACGGGCCGTTCTTGGATGCGTTGGAAAGGGGACGATGACGCCGTCGTTTTGGATCTAGTCCCAGCTCCAAAAGGTCCGTGGATCATTCTGTGTGACCACGACAAGGTGCTGCGTCACCTATTTAGGCCAACTTGGCCATGTATCGTGTCGGGCCTTAAGCCCAAGTTGTGGGCGCCCAACCCCTGGCCGTCCCCAACCCTAGGTCGAGTCTTAGACTATAAACACAGCCGCCACCGCTGCTACACAATGGGGTTTTGTTTAGAGTTTAGTTTTCCATCGAGAAACTGAATCGTTCATTGTAACTGTGGTGACAAATCCTTTTACAGTGATCCAGGGCCCCCGTTCTTGATCTCCTCCACTGTGTCGATTAGTCCTTTGGAACCGAGTTCTAGAACCCTCTATTGATAATCGCGTCATTCATATTTGCAATATCAGATTGCGTGATTTACCTTCTTGCTTGTGCTCTTCGATTTGCTTGCAGGAAAAGCCTTCTTGGCGAGGTCAATCAAGTTGTGCTTGGTTGATAACCAACGGAGCAGTGGTGTAACGGTTGCAGGGTTCGAATCGCGTCTGATTTGAAGCCGGATCGCCAACGTCGAGATCTCCACAAATCGAACTTACCGGCTACGTCTCGGAAGATCGGGCCTGTACTCATCAATTGGTATCAGATATTTCAGGTTTACCGCGAGGTATAATCTCGTTTGCCTTAGATTCATATTTGTTCATTACCTAGAGTCCACAAAAAGCCCAAAAATATTTCAATTTCCGCTGTCCTATCGCCCTTTGTGCCTTTGCAATTTCGTTTCAGATTCGTGTTGTTGAGTTTGTGTCCGTGGTCGAGTCTTGTTGCTGGTTTAGGATTGTGTTCGTGGTCGTAGTTCAATCGCCCGTTGCTGTGATTTTGTTTTCCGCCGCTATCCCATCCACCGTTCCCACACAACAAGTCGAAGCCACCACATTACTCGACTTGCCCCGCTAGCCGCCTTGTGTAACTTCTCGCCGCCGAGAAACCCTAGATAGGTTGCCAGCCGCTCTTATTTTGCTCGCGCCGCAGCCCTCCTTACATCATCGGTGAATACCTCTCTGCTGTGATCGGTGTTAGAGTTTAGGGACGCTTTGCCCTAATCGCCGCCGCCGTTGTGCCTCCCGAAAAACATACCTTGAGATACCTTCTTCAGAAACAGGCATAACTTTTCGCTCGTTTATCGAAAAATCTGAAATTTTTTTCAGCAGCTTCTTGACACCATTTGGACCCGACCCAGTTTCGTCAAAATTGCCAAAAAATTCAGGAAAATAAAGAAAAAAACTTGTCAAAGTTTTTGCACGCTTTCGAGAACGTGTTGAATTTCTCAGAGACCACATCCCACCTCGGTTGTAGGTGCCAATTTTTGTGGTTGCATCTTTTGTGATCCTTGTTCAGAGAAAAGTATAAAAATTAGTGAAAAAATAAAAAAAAGTTTGTGCCTTTTGGAAAAATCTGGGAAAAAATTCAGGAAAAAGGAGAAATCCGGGCTATTTGCTTGTTCCGTGAGTTCTTTCGATCGTCCTTTGTTTTCACCTTGTTGCGCTTACGTCTCGACATGTCTTAGCCAAAGCACTGTGACTTGTACTTTGGATCCAGATTGAACAATCGCTACTCTTGCACTCGTTAATTGCTAATCCTTGTCATGTCATATTGTGTGCCTACCCATAGCTCCACATATTCTTCACAAAGACAGTTTCATCTTGCAATTGTTACCCACGCTCCACAACAGATTGCTTCGCCACTTTGGTTTTGCTCCTGTTTGGCGTTGGTAAGAATATAGGCAAGACGGTGGTAAGCCGCTTGTGATTTTGCATTCCACTTTCACCACCACCACCACCACTTGTTTCCTTTTAGTTGATAGGGATAATACTTTGGTGTTGTCTTTTTCTATCTTCTAACCATGGCAGGAACTCCGACGGACTTCAATGAGTGCGTGTCCAAGGGCGAGCTTGCAACGCGTTCATGGTGAACAACGCAATCTTATGACCGAGCCGACGCAGCGTGAACAATCTAGTCACCCGCATTGAACAGATTGAGCAACGCCCTCCGCCTTATCGTGCTGATGATGAAGATGCGGATGCTTTTGGTGATGAAGATGCGTATGCTAACGGTGGTGCCCGTCGCCGCCTCAACTTCAATTGTCGCGGCATGGGAGGTAATAATCATGGTAATAATGATCCTTTTGCTAAAATTAAATTTAGTCTACCTCCTTTTGCTGGTAATGTTGATCCAGAGGCATATTTAGATTGGGAGCTTGCTGTTCAACAAAAATTTGATTCTCATAATGTTCCTCCTGAGCATAGAGTTAGACTTGCTACTAGTGAGTTTACTAATTTTGCTTTGTTCTGGTGGAGTGATCTTTGCAATGCTAATAATGCTGCTGCTGTGCCTCAAACTTGGAATGTTTTAAAGCAACGTATGAAATCTCGTTTTGTTCCTCCTTATTACCAACGTGATTTACGTTTGAAACTACAAACTTTAAAACAAGGTGATAAAGGAGTGGAAGCATACTATCAAGAATTGCTTATTGGTTTAGCACGTTGTGGTATAAATGAAGATGATGATGATGCTAGTGCTAGATTTTTTGGTGGTTTAAACCATGATATACAGAACATACTTGATTACAAAGAATGGCGCAATTTTTCCCAATTGTATCATCTTGCTATTAAGGCAGAACGAGAAGTACAGGGACGCAAACAACACCAGCCTTTCAGGTCTAACAATGGGAGGAATTTTCAGCAGCGTTCCGAGCCGGAGACGCCCAAGCTTCCTGTTGCACCACAGCCATCTACACCTCCATTTTCTTCCGAGGTACGTAAATTGTCTAATGTGCAGTTTCCACAGCTGAAGAAAGGTGGAACTCCGGGTGCTTCTACTAGCTCCTCCTCGTCCAGCTCTAAAATCATTTGCCACCGATGCAAAGGCATGGGACATGTCATGAAGGAGTGCCCCAGTCGTCGCGCTTTCATTGCTACCGAGGATGGATATGTAAGTGCTAGTGATGTTGAAGATGATTTAGCCCTTGCTGCTAACATTGATGCAGATCCCACCGAGGGCGATCAAGACAAGGAGACCATCACCATTGACTCCGTGGCTGCTGCCGCGGACTACCCTAGCCTTCTTGTGCAGCGTGTGTTGAGTACACGTGTGGGACATGAAGAAGAGATGAAGATCCAACGCCACAATTTGTTCCACATGTATCTCATTGTGCAGGGTTGTCGTGTTCTCACTATCATTGATAGCGGGAGTTGCAACAACTTGGTGAGTTCAGATTTGGTTGACAAGCTTGGCTTGACCACACGACAACATTCGTATCCATATAAACTTCAATGGTTCAATAATAGTGGTAAGACTAAGGTAACTAAATCAGCACGCATTAGCTTTTTCACAGGCTCTTATCATGATACTGCTGATTTTGATGTTGTCCCTATGCAAGCTTGTTCCATTTTGTTAGGTCGCCCATGGGAATTTGATAATGATGCTTTACACCATGGTAGAACTAATACATACACTATCATACATAAGGACAAGAAAATTACATTGCTGCCTTTGTCTCCTACGGATATTATTAAACATGCTAATGAGATCAAAAATAA